TCCATTACGACTGGGTATGTACCTATATGAAAGTAATGTAAAAAAAAGACTCACTCCAACGCGAGAATGATCTTGATGAAACCTTAGAATCAAACAATTTAAGTTGTTCGAAGCCTTCATTGCAAATTTGGAGAAAAGAAAACGTTGCGCCGATTTTGCTACATATTTTGTTGTAAGCTATTGAGAAAGAACTGACTAATGAGTCAAAATATGATGCTTAAGATGCCATGCTTAAAAGTATACCCAGCATATCAGGATCTTTTAGAATACCTTTGGTGAAGAAAGGATAATCAACATAATAATCAGACGTAACTATAGTAAGAACCTCTAGTTACCGATATGGTATCGTAGAGGTGCTTTCAGTCCATAGAAAATTACGAAAGACTGAGGAAGATAAGGATCATTCTGAGCACAAGACGTGTGTACACGAGTTCAATGGTTCTGATACATAGCAGGCAGGAAGACTGTCATTTCAATAAGAGTTAATAATACACAGAACTAAAGGTCTGCGTGAAGGGGAAGTCATCCCTATAATGCGGGGTGATGCCGTGTGCTGCGATGACGTGGCTGAAGAGGGAAAGGGAAGCTGCCTCCTGAAGACATGCGAAGAGGATGCAGAGGCGGCGTTCATGACCCCATCAGCTGGTGTTGGTGACAGGGATGTAAACAAAAACGCCCATTAGACCACGCGCCACCTCTTCAATGAACCGCTGGAATATTGGCATCCTGAGGAATTTGAAGTGACCAAAGGGAGTGATGACAGCCGTCTTGGAGACATCCTCCTCGGCGAGTTCGACCTTGGAGAAGATAGTGGCTGCCGAAGAGTTCGTGGGGGAAGGAGTAGACAAGTGGCAGGAGATAGTGGCCCGGAGAGTTGACGATACGATGGTGAAAATCACTAAACGAGAGAGGATTGAGGCGCCAGGGATTCCAGTTAAATGGGTGACGGCTGAGGACATCACTTGAGAAACGCTGGTTCTGAACCTGTCCTGTCCTGAACGATTATCCTTTTCTTCATGAAAATATGTTGGAATGTTATATTTCCCTTCCTTTCCTAGTCATTGATATTTGTTCTTTTGTGTTAATGAGAAAGTAAATTTGATAACAAATAATTAGATCACTAAACGAAGCCCTTTTCGAAAATGTAATTCAGTATATAACCGAATCCATAACAATTAAAGGAAACGGTATATCTATGTCTTCTGTGACCTTCACAAAATTAACATCATCAGTTGCATACCTGTCAGCCTTATTATCATTGTATTATGACAACACTGCCACAACAATCCCTCTAACAACAACATTCAGAATAATCAAACTGGCACAATCTTCACTGTAGTTTAAGTTGTATAAGATGGAAGCAGAAACTACCGCCAGTAGACATCAGTTTCCAGATTATTAGTCTTATTACAAATGTCGTTCCTGCCTCCACGATCTCCTAATGTATATCCTCACCAACTCCCCTTAATTGCATTGCCGAAAGGCATTTAGAAAGTTATGATGGTAGTGAGATAGACTTGTAAATGCACTATATTCCGTCGGTTTGTCTAAATAACATTGTTTCCTAAAATTAGTTTTAACTCCTTATCGGTGCTGAATTGTTGCGAATGCGAATTTTCAGTGTCTCGAAAAATGAACAGTGTTATACAGAAGATGGATACTATTCTAAAGCAATAAAATTCTCAACATTTGTAACACTCGACAGCACAATATTCATATTCATTGGATGCGCCATGGCAATGATATTGAATCATACGGATGTTACATAGAAGATACCAAGCGCAGCTTCGGATTATGAAACAGATGAATGACTGAGACCATTAAGCCAGTATGTCATATTAATATTATATAAAACTCGTAATGTGATAAGATATATTTGCGGAAATGTTATCGATTACTGATTTTGAACTTATCTTTGATGAAACAACGTACTGTCATATTCTTATCAATCAAGCACAGCTGCGTTTTCCAATGGCAAGGAAGTATCGTCATTGCAAATGGATAGTGAACACGATCGAGCTAATGTTGCATATGCATTACCACATATTTATGTATATATATTCAAATCTGACCTTTCTTTTTGCTACATTTTCCTTTTATTGTACTGTAATCATCTTGAATACAATATAAGCTAGAGTATGTTCGCTATGATGCTCAACAGTTTTCAGTATCAACAAAACACCCGTTCGCACATGACTAGAAAAGAAACAGTGATTCTGTTAATACTCCACATCGTGCAAACTTCATCCACACATTCCTTCAAACACAACACCAGGCCCTTCAACATTCTCTTACAAATCACGCTTATATACAACAGACTATTATCAAACACAACTTCGCTCTATCCAGTCATTGTTTTTGCAAGTACGGGGACTTTTTTGCTTTTGTCACTGATTTCCTAACTGTTCCCGAACCCTTTTTCCCTTTCGTTGCAGATTACGCTTATCTGTTTTACATCTTCCTTTCCTTTTCCCGTTTTTTTTCTACCTCTTTAATAGCCCCTTTGACCTCCCTAACATTTCTCCTCCTCCCTCGGCTTTCATCATATCAGATCCAAACCCTTCTACGCATCTACAAAATTTATACACATAAGTAACTTCTAAAAGGCACGTAAAGTGCGGGACCCTCTACTTCCGATCTCTGGGGACCCTTTGCCCTGACTCCCCCCACCCACCTTCTTTCGCTTCTCTCTCTCTCTCTCTCTCTCTCTTTCTCTCTCTCTCTCTCTCTCTCTCTCTCTCTCTCTCTCTCTCTCTCTCTCTCTCTCTCTCTCTCTCTCTCTCTCTCTCTCCTCTCTCTCTCTCTCTCTCTCTCTCTCTCTCGCTCTCTCTCGCTCTCTCTTCTCTCTTTCTCTTCTCTTTCTCTTTCTTTTCTATCTCTCTTCTCTCTTCTCTCTCTCTCTCTCTCTCTCTCTCTCTCTCTCTCTCTCTCTCTCTCTCTCTCTCTCTCTCTCTCTCTCTCTCTCTCTCTCTCTCTCTCTCTCTCTCTCTCTTCTCTATCTCTTCTATCTCTATTCTCTTCTCTATCTATTCTATCTATCTATCATCTGTCTATTCTATATCTATATCTATATATATTAATAATATATATATATATATATATATATATATATATATATATTAATATGTTACTAATTACTTATCTGTCCATCTATCCGTCTGTATCCCTCTTCCTCACTCTCGCTCTCCTTTTCATTCTGTCTCCTTTTTTCCCTCCAACATCCCTTCCCTTCTTCTCTCCTTCCTTCCCTTCCTCTATCACCCCTGCCCCATCCTCCTTCCCTCCCTCCCTCCCATCTCCCCCTCCCCTCCCTCTCATTCACTTTGCCCCCTCCCTCAGAAGATCCGCGTCCCCCAGGCAATTAAATATTTATTCTTCATTACGGAGATAACTTCTCAGTCTATCTGGAAGTTCAGCAGGGAAATGGTGAATTAGAGGGGAGATGAGGGGAGTCGAGTACGCTATCCCAGTGTGGCGGTGTTGGTGAATCAGCTACGAATAGAAGGAGAGAAAAAATGTCTGTAATACGTATTGTAGGAGGAATCCTGGGGGAAAAAACTCATCTGTGTTTCCTAAAATTGCATGAGATCAAGATAATCCATTGTTCAAATAAGTTCTGACTAATTAGCTGAATTATGAAAGATAAGCACGGGGATACCGATAAGACTACTGTTTACACTGATTATACTGACACGGGTGTATAATTTCAGTGGGGAACGAGTGTCTCTGCATAATGCTGTAGTTCCCATGGTAACGCAGCTTCCTGGGACTTTTTTTTATTATCTTATTTTCTGACTCGGACACGCCCACTTCTCGTTACCTTTCATTGATAGTTTTGAAAAGCAGTTTGTGGAAGCCTGATATCGATGCTGACACGCGTGAGAATAAGCCCTTCTGACGGCCCTAGTTAACTTGGCGTCTTACCCCGGCCTTCTCTTCGTTAAATTCCGTAAGTGAGTTAGCAAGTTATCCCGCCCAGCTGAGGGGCCCGTAAATAGCGCGTGGCCACATGTGTTTCATTTGCCGCCGCTGCTGTTGCTGGAGGACGTTGCAGCATTCGTATGCAGCGTAGTCGAAGGGAAGTCCGAAAGAAAAAAATCTCGTTCACTGCGGAAACCCGGAACAGCATTTTAGCACAGGTGTGGCAACTCCGGCAGGCCAGCCCTCGCGACGGTTCACGAGCCAGCATGCATCTGATTCATCAATTATGAATTTCATCAATTAGCCAAGAGGCCCTAACCCATTCGTAAATTAGATTATTTAATGAATGTCTCTGAATGGGTCCCTTCGCCCCCCCCCCCCAGCCTCCTTCCACACCCCCTCCAGCACGCGCGAGAGTCGGGGTAAACAAACAGTGAGTTGCCATATTCGTCTTGGGTGAACCGGCCTAACCCTGGTCACGCGGAGAGGGTGGGTTTGGTCGGTGGGGGGGGATAACGGTTGTTTCGGTTGCCATTTTTAATCTTGCAGATATGGGACTTTTACGATTTGGGGATCTCTCGAGCTCACGGAGTCAATCTAAAGGATTTTTCGGCCGAATGTAAAAGTAAATTAGGGATGTTTAATGTTTGCCATCTACGTCAGCAGCATCAATTGCAGGATCTCTTTTAACAGCCGTGTCCTGGAAATCATAATTGTCCTGATGATAACTTCCTTTGTTGTTATATCAAAAACATAATAGACGCGATAAATTCGCCTACAGGAAGACCAAACTCCCGGCCGCGCGAAACATTATGGAACAGACGAAGAACTTTAACAAAAACTGGAAGTTCCAGTGCGAGTTACCATGTCTTCCTTTCCGAAAATTATGATAAGAACGATTCCATCTTTTCAGTCATCTAGAATATCTAAGTGCATCACATCACTAACATCCTGATTGGTAACTGAATGCAAGGTAATTCATGACATAATTGGGAAAATAGATCAGAAAATGGCACACGGCAACGTCACTTTCCCTCAAGCTTCGGCCAGTCTCCGAGTGGCACAGGTGAGCGCGTCAGTGTGCGAGTAACAGGTGATACCGTGCAGTGGGCGAGGGTCGCTGCCGCTGACATCCACCTCGAATACGGCGCATGTGACTCGTCTCAGTTCTGTAAAAGAGGAAGACATCGTTGTCAATAAGTCATCGGTTAGTTTATCTGCTCTTCAAGTCGCTAAATGATGATGTTTATAGTTCCCTGTGACCGCGAATCGCCTCCAACTCCTGCCAACAGTTGACCGCTGTGCCAACAGACGTCTCGTCCTGTTGTGTATACCCACGCAACTCCGACCTACAAGTGAAACTGTTTTTCATGTCACTCGCTACTGCGTTGTAATGAAAAGTGCATAATTTGATTTCTTAAATAAAACTCTCACTTCATACTTTACACCCACCTGATGGAAAGAAAAAAGAATAAAGTGGTAATGAAAAGTTTGATTGCGTTGGCCTGATTCTTAGAGACGCGTCGACTAAGCAAAACAAAGCAGATTGCACGTCGACTCATCAGTCAAGTTAGTTATAGTATTGACTAGGTTAAATTCGTGAATCAAGAGAAATGGCCTTGAAATTTTGCAAAACAACAGTATAAACTGAATTTACCTCATAGCGTACTCTCGAGTAAATTTAAACTATTGTGGATCGTGCTAGTACGTCGATATTTATACCGAATCTTCAAAATTTCTTAGATCTTTAAATAAGAATCAAACACGCTAGACGTGCAGTGACCAGGCCATCTCCGGGAGTTGAATACCAGCCTTAACAGAGGCTGATGGTGAGGGGCAAAGGCAGTGATGCAATGGACGAGGCGCATTGTGATGACCGGTTTGTTTTGAAGTTCGGGTCAGTGTGTCAGTCTCGGGTCATCTTCCTCGTCCCGCGCACAGATTTCTGGTTTGTGAATTGTTTCTGATCCTGAGGTTAACGAAGACTAGGATATACGCATTATCTCTTTATCTGTCTCTTTCTTTTTCTCTCCTTTCTCTCCCTCCTTTCTCATTCCTTTCTCTCCCTCCTACCTCTATCTCGCTCTCCTTTCTCAGCTTCTCTTCCCTCTTCTCTCTCTTTCCTTCTCTCTTCTCTCTCTCTCTCTCCTCTCTCTCTCTCCTCTCTCTCTCTCTCTCTCTCTTCTCTCTCTCTCTCTCTCTCTCTCTCTCTCTAGCTCTCTCTCTCTTCTCTCTCTCTTTCTCCCTTACTATTCTCGCAATATTATTATTTTATATTACTTACTATTCCCTTCTCTGCCCCCTCCCCTTTGTCGTTCCCGGCTCTCTCCCCACAGTTCTCTTCTCTCTCCTCTCTCTCTCTCTCTCTCTCTCTCTCTCTTCTCTCTCTCTCTCTCTCTCTCTCTTCTCTCTCACCTCTCCTCTCTCTCACCTTTACCTCCTTCTTCACTTTCTCTCTCTCCCCTCTCTCTCTCTCTCCCTCTCTCTCTCTCCCTCTCTCTCTCTCTTCTCTTTCTCTCTCTCTCCTTTACCTTTCTCTCCTTCTTTCTCTTTCTCTCGCTACCTTTCCTCTCTCTCTACCTTTCTCTCTCCTCTCCCTTTCCTCTCTCTCTTTTCTCTCCTATGTGTCTTTCTCTCTCCCTCTCCCTTTTTGTCTTTTCTCCTCTGTCCTCTCCTCTCTCTTGCACTCCTCTCTCTTCCTTCTTTCTCCTCCCCCTCCCTCTCTCTCCTCTCTCTCTCTTCTCTCTCTCTCCTTCTCTCTCTTCTCTCTCTCTCTCTATATATTTATATAATACTATTATCCTTATAATATATATATACTAATATGTTACTAACCTATTATATATTCTGGGTGTGTGTGTTGGTCCTCGCTCTGCATGTCTGTGTCTCTGTGTTCCGCGTGTGTTGTGTTGTGTGACTGTGTGTCTCGAACATGTTAAGGCCATAATATCTAATATGAGCATGTGTGTATATATATATAGTATATATGTGTGTGTGTGTGTGGCGTGTGTGTGTTGTGTGTGTGTGTGTGTGTGTGTGTCCGTTGTAGGGGCCCATGTTGTCCAGGTTGTCTTCTCCGTTACTATCTCACACTTATTATTATTATTGTTATTTCTCTCTTTCTCTTTCTCTACCTCTCTCTCTCTCCTCCCTCCTTCCCTCCCTCCCTCTCCCTCTCCCTCCCCCCCCCCACCCCTCTCTCTCTCTCTCTCTCTTCTCTCTCTCTCTCTCTCTCTCTCTCTCTCTCTCTCTCTCTCTTCTCTCTCTCTTCTCTCTCTCTCTCCCTCACTCCCTCTCCCCCTCCCTCCCTCCCCTCCCTCTCTCTCGTCTCTCTCTCAGTCTTTCTCTCCCCTCTCTTTCTTCCCTCTTCTCTCCCTCTCTCCCCCTCTCTCCCTCTCCCTCTCACTTCCTCCCGCTTCTCCCTCTCTCCCTTCCCTCTCTTTCCCTTCCCTCTCTTTGCCTCTCTCTCTCTTGCTCTCTCATCTCTCTCTCTCTCTCTCTCTCTCTCCTCTCTCTCCTCTCTCTCTCTCTCTCTCTCTCCTCTCTCTCTCTCATCTCTCTCTCTATCCCTCCTCTCTCTCTCTATCCCTCTCTCTTTCCCTCTCTCTTTTCCCTCTCTCTTTCTCTCCCTCTCTCTCTCCTCTCCTCCCTCCCTCCTTCCCTCCCCTCTCCCTCCCCTTCCCCCCCTCCAACCTCCTCTCTCTCTCTCTCTTTCTCTCTCTTTTTCTCTCCCTCTCTCTTTTTTCCCTCTCTCTATCTCTCTCCTCTCCCTCTCTCGCTCGCTCTTCCCTTCTCTTTCTCTCTCTCTCTCTCTCTCCTCTCTCTCTCTCTCTCTGTCTCTCTCTCTCTCTCTCCTCTCTCTCTCTCTCTCTCTCTCTCTCTCTCTCTCTCTCTCTCTCTCTCTCTCTCTCTCTCTCTCTCTCTCTCTTCTCCTCTCTCCTGTCCTCTCCCTCCCTCCCTCCCTCCCTCCCTTCCCCCTCCTCTCTCTCTCTCTCTCTCATTCTCTCTCTCAGCGCAGCTCTCTCTCTCTCTCACTCTCTACTCTATTTTCCTTTTCTAGATCCTTCAGTCCTTCCCTCCTTCTTCCTTCTCCCCCTCCCTCCTTCCCCTCTCCCCCACCTTCCTCTCCTTCCTTCAACGTCTCACATTTTTGTCACATATTCCCGCAGCGCAATTTATAAAGTATCTCGACTATGGCTGTGCTATTGTCAGAGCCGGGACCGTCACGCCAACACGTTCTGGACATGCAAGCAGAAGTTTGAGCGAGGGTAATGACGTCCAGAATGGGTTAGTTCATGACATGTAACATCTTTAGCGACTGATTCGATATTTGGTGTGTGTGTGTGTGCGTATGTGTTTCGTTTTTTTTTTTATTTTGGGGGCGATTATTAGTTATCCGTGTTTAAAAAGGTTGTGCGTTGTGTGTGTGTGTGGAGAGAGAGAGAGAAAGAGAGTGAGATCAGAGTCTGTATCTATGAATCTCGTTTATCCAGATTTATACAAAGTAAATTATCTATAGGAATGAATAAAACCAGTTTATACGACCGCCAGAAAGAAACAACATAACACCCACTGTATATATAATAACCATCTTATATACAGTAAGAAGATTCTCCCGTTCGCCAAAGAAATAAATAAGGGATCTAGTAGGGCTAAGAATTACAGGCCGTCTCCTCCCAGATTCCGGGAAGACAGCGGCAGCGGAACAAGTCTGGAGAAAGTATTGGCTATTTCTTGGACAACGTCTTTGAGATACCTATAAGATGAGGAAATACTTGTGGAGAGATATGTACGGGGATGATGAACGATACACGGAGACGAAACCAGGGAGAAAAAAATGTATCATTTCTATGAGCGTATTGTATACCTGCCACACCCAGGCCCTCTAGCGGCGCATACGAGAACTAATCACCGGTGGAGACATTAGGTTAGTGCCATTAACCTGTCCAGTGTAGCCATGACACGTGATGCATCCTCGGCGACGAATAGAGGGTCAAAGAGGAGGAAAAGGACAACATAAAAAAGAACGTTGAATTGTTGAAAGTGTGTGAAGGCAAAAAGGGTGATGTGGGTTTGTCTTTTCCTTTTTGTTTTCTTTTGTTTCATATCAATGTTTTGTTTTTGTTTTTCTCCTCTCTCTCTCTCTCTCTCTCTCTCTCTCTCTCTCTCTCTCTCTCTCTCTCTCTCTCTCTCTCTCTCTCTCTCTCTCTCTCTCTCTCTCTCTCTCTCTCTCTCCTCTCCCTCTCTCTCCCTTCTCTCTCTCTCTCTCTCTCCCTCTCTCTTCCCCTCTCTCTCCCTCCTTCCCTCCCTCCCACTCCCAATCCCTCCCTCCCCTCCCCCCTCCCCTCCCCTTCCTTTTTTCCTCCTCCCCCTTCCCTCCCCCCCTCCCTCCCTCGCTCCCTCCCTCCCTCCCTCCCTTAGTCCCTCTTTTCCTCCCATCCCTCTCTCCCTTCCTCTCTCTCTCTCTCTTTTTCCTGTGTGTTTTGCAGCACGTTGTTTCTTTTATACTAGAGAGTAAGAGACAGATAAGATTGACAGTTAGGTATATGAAAGGGAAAGTAGCTAGTCGCCCATATCAGGTTGCCAACTTGACGGGGCGTCTAGACTACTCGAAATGTCACGCGTTTATGTGCCTGTGCTTGTATTTTCAGTTCGTATTTGGTTATGCGGTGTGTGTGTGTGTGTGTGGTGTGTGTTGTGCGTGTGAGTGCGAGTGTGTGTGTGTGTGTGTTGTGTGTGTGTGTGTGTTGTGTGTGTGTTGTGTTGTATATGTGTGTGTGTCTTGGTAGACAGTATAAGACATATTATAATTCATAGTATGCCAGGGTAGACCCCTGTATATATGCAGGTATGAAGGTAGGCTGAGAGGAATTTTTTATCTATGGATCAATCAATTCATTTGTTTAGAGTGAACATTAATCGCTGATCTTGTCTTAATCCCAAATTCGTGCATGGCCAGCAGTCGTAGGAGAGATCAAGTAGAGTGCTTTCTTTTCCCCTTGTCACTTCCCCCTTTTTCCCTCTCCTTTTCCCTCTCCTTTATCCCTCCTGTACTCTCCTCTCACACTTCTGTTTTCTCCCCTCTTACCACTCCCTTCTTCCCTCATGCTTGCCTTTTCTCTCTTATTTACTTTCCCATTTCGCTTCTCCCCTCTCCCTTCTCTTTCCCCTCTCTCCTTTCCTTTCACACCTCTCCCTTCTCCCCTC